CCTTTCATTTCATATCTCTTTTTTTTATCCAACGAACAATGAAGATCTTTAAATTTTAAACAGGTGGCAACCTTACTCGAAAAATAAAACATTTATGTTTATTTAGAGGGTAATCCCTCTTGACACCTCATTTTTTGTAATCCAACGAACTGCGCGGATATTATAATTTTTTAGACAGGTGGCAACCCTATAGAAATTCTAAATACCAACGGTCACGCTCCTGTTTATACAGAATATATTAGAGAAAATCTCGTCCAATCCATAAGCAGTTACTATATATCCGGATCAGATTATTTTTTAGTTGTGCCTCTTTTGAGGAGGGTGTGCGATATGTAACTAGTCGGAGTGTAAGAAAAATATGTTGTATCCACTTGTATAGAATGGCACATACTGATTTCTATAGCCAGTTGATGACGCTTCAGCATGAAGATAGTTGTCAGACTCTCCAATGTAATATAATACTACTAATGACCTCTGTTGAAAATCTCTCCACTACTACGAAACTACGCTTCTCATTCGCAAATTACAACCTCCGCCAAAAACGTGAAGCTATATTTATTTTTGAAATTCTTTAGATCTCGAATTGGCTTCAATAGGTGCTCATTTAAACTACATATGTATATATTTTGGATATCGGTCCGCTTTCGTGACTAACTTCTTTTTTCGTCGATAAGGTTTGGTAATCATAAACGTAAATTTTTCCCCCAATTCGGACGGAGATAAAAGTTACACCCAATGTCGCTCTACACAGCTTCACAAATTTTGCGGAATTCCAAATTTAGACATGACAGCTTGACCAAGCTTTCAGAAGTAGTTTTAAAATCGCCGAAAGAGGAGTGTGTGTCGATTTGCTTACCGAGAGTATTTCCAGAATTTGACGTGCTGTGAAAATGTTGTCAATCGGACATTTGTTAGGGCAGAAGCTACACGAATAAGTTCTACTAATTTTTTTATGAACAGCTTCATTTTTTCTCACAGTATCGTCGATAGGACTTTATATGCAGTGTTGAAAAGCATATCCCGAGTTGATTAGTCTTTTAAGCCTCATTATGGCTGTTCTCCCCTCGTCACTTGGTCCAGAGAACTTAGATAGATAGAGAAGGTGCAAACTGAAAGTGGAAAATATTCGCGGACGAAAAATTAACAGCGTTAGAAAAGTTCAAGTCGGAATGTAGAAATTCTGTTGAATTTACTGTTGATAACATAATACAATGTTAAGCAACATGAAATGTGATGTTCTTTGCGAGCAAATAAACGAAAATATGGTAAATCTTCACATAATTTTCATTAATTTGTAATTTTTGATACATTTATTATCTTGTTCTCCTTTTATGAAGATGCAAATACAATTTAAAATAATGATAGTTTGGCATAAAGTTTACACACATATGCATACATATACTGGCAATCAAAAGTGAGTGCATGGTGTTTTTTGCTTAATATTTGCAATGTTTTTCAATTAATTTTTTTTATTATCTTTTTATAAAAATGTGGTTCATGCTTTAATCAAAACTATACAAGTCAAACTTTCAAACTTTACACAGAACATAGAAAAATTCACCGAATTCTCGTCTAAATTTTGACCTGTTTAATCTGAGTTTTTAGAAAAATTTTGAGTACGCAGATAGATCGGTTTTTTAATTCTAGTGGAACAAGATCAAGTTTTAAGCGGCTAAAAAATCCGGTTGATTTTTAATGATTATTTATTGCTGACGGCTTTTTGCACTTTTTACCAAATAAAAGTGAATTTCTTGTAGGATAAAATGCGCATGACCGTTTGCAAACAAATAAAAAAAATTAGCGCTATTTTTTACAAATTGCACTTGCTATATGCATAAAACCGCAATTCCCGTCGAAAATAACATAAAATTTTAACTTAAAAACATTGCAAATATTAAACAAAAAACAGGATGCACTCACTTTGCCAGTGTACATACATATTTGTGTTTAAAATTAACTACTTATGAAATAATTTTTGTGGCACGAACATATACATACTTGCGCTTTCTAAAAATGGGAATAAAAATTGGATTCGCATAAAATTTTAATTCCAATAACTAATATTTTAGTGAAAATATTTACAATAAAGCTTTCAGTAACTTTTGGCAAATTTGAGCGATTATGTGAAATTATGCATGCGTTTGTACCTACATATCCATTTACATATATTATTTTAAACAAAGCTAATAGTAAAATTTAAAATGGAATATGGATATGACAATTAAAAAAAAAAAAACAAAAACATTTATTACTTGGTCCGTCCGGGATTTGAATCAAGACAAACGGCGAGACGCCGAAAAGTTGCATCGCCTCTAGCGTATACGCCACGGCACATTACTGAAACGGCAATCTCTAAATCACTACATATATGAAATTTTTCATTCGTCCAAGGAGACAAACGCATAAATATGTGTGCATTTATAAATGTAAATATGTGCATAAATATGTACGATTGTTCTGCTTTCGTCTTCCCCTCGCCGTCTAAAGAAATTCTATGTACTAGAGATAATAACTCTATCGATACAGATAATATTAAGCAAAATCTCGTCTAAATCTGTGTAGTAATTCTCGCGATTAATAATAATAGTAGGATGGCGCTTACTTATACTTATGTTGGTGTTGGGTTGAACCGGGCTTGAACCCAGGAACCCAGGCCCTGCTAGCGTGCACTGCCAACCACTACACAACAGCGGCCGCACATTCGAGATTGGCGTGGTCAAAAAATGTCGTTTTTGCTTTATGCTATGTTAGGAAAAAAAAGTAATTCTTAAATAGGTGGCAACCCTACTCAGAAAAAAGTTGTGTATATACGAAATCCATGTCCTTTCATTTCATATCTCTTTTTTTTATCCAACGAACAATGAAGATC